AATTTTCAACGTAGCATGATTAATTAATTTATTAAAAGATATTAGTATAGACCTACTATCATCAAGGTTCCGACCTTGAGTATGAGAGGTCTCAAAGTTCAGTTGCTAATCTAAGAGCGTAAATTATCACATTCTTCCATGTCATATCGCAGTTGAGAAGTTTTGTATATTCATTTTTAGACTTCGAACATGCGATTGCCTTTCTTAAATTCGCTGGAATAAAAATATAGATATTGTATCTGTTCCTTGTTCTGAATTAGTAGTACGTTGACTTGTTGTCTTCAGAAATCATAAATTCTATGATTTCAGAAGTTGTAACCTGGATTCTACTAAAAAGATTCAATAATTAAATCAAGACGATAGATTTTTTGCTTTTGACGTTGTTTTCTATAATATAACATATTTTTCAAAAAGTATTATTTGCATACAACCTTTATGTGTAGTCTGGAAATTTCTGCTATGTTCATAGGTTCGCAAGGTTTATCATATTTTAAAGTTTAGGTTACTACAAAATGTCACAAACTGTCTCGTACTAGATTACTCCACTATCATTAGAGCCCGGTGTAATTTTATTTCATGCACGCTACTTACACAGTATAGAGTAAGTATTGTAATGCTGTGGCTAAAAACAGCAATTTTTTACAAAATAATACCCCTCCTGTTTCGGGGCCCTAAAACTGAAAACGTGGATAAATCTTGTTACGATTGTCGACGCTGTTTATAGCGAACTTCTGGAGACTAACTGTTTTAGTTCACTACATCGGAGGTATATTATATCCGATGTCAAAATTAAATAGAATTTATCTACAATTATTGATTTTTTTGATATACAGATACAGAAAAATACATCAACAACACAAACTAAAAATTTCAATATCGTTAAAAAGTTAATTATTTTCAATTGCTCCGGACATTTTTCATTAGTAATTTCTCTAGATTATTCAGCCCAATTCGAGTTCTCTCCATACTTGATTCTGTATTGTCTACTGTCCCCAAGTCGTAATGTAGGCTATTGTTGTAATGCAGTCTTAATGCAGTCTTAAATAAAATAAATCTACTTCTTATTTATAGGAAATTACTTCCTTTAATATGCCGTGAAGTCAGAATCCACATTACTATGTGAGTTCGTGATACCAATCAATCGTGAAAATCAATTGAGAGCGAAACGTCTGACTTACCGACCGTTCTCATTGCAAAAAATTAACATTGAAAAACTAATATTCATAGATATTTTCCTCAACCTCAATCTTATCTAAAAAAATTCTGACAATTCTAAAAAACAGGTATTTTCCGCGTTATTTTGGCCGGAAGGAGTAAAAGAATAATCATAAAAATGGTGGAGGTCTATTTTCGGTGAACTCTCTATATTTTTGAAAATTGCAAACGCATGTGTTGCATTGAAAAATGCATCGCAAAACTGCAATATTGGTGATAGATATTTTTTACTTAATGAAATCTACACTTTAAAAGTGGAATTTGTAATATAGTTATGTAGGACAATATTTATTATACAGATTTTTTCCTTCAATGAAATCCGTTCTAAAAAGCAAATCTTTAAGAAGGTCATTAATAAAACACATTAAAATTAATAGGAGAAATTATGTGCTGTTATAGAATCACTAGTTTAGCCAAGATGAATAGCAGGATATTCTACAATTATCCACAAAAATATACAGACATGTACCGATTTTGGTAAATATAGAATATTTCAATTACATTTTAGAAACATATTTAATACTGTTCAATGAATAGTGATTTTGTTGTCCTATAATTTTATCATTTACTTCATTTCGTTAGTTTTGGAGAAATGACATTGAAATATGACATTGAGAAAATTGTAGAAGTTATCATCCTTTGACACTTGGGGCGTTAATTTTCACACATGTCTAAAACTTGGGAAGGGGAGCTTTATTTCAACGATAATTGTTTCTGTGATTTCAATGTTTATGCAAGAGTAAATAAAAAGATAATTCTAAGAAATTTTGATTTACATAATCTGAGACTAGCATGTTTGGCATTTCCTTTCACATTTGCCGTAAACGTTGGAAATGAAATGGAAATATTTATGAAAAACAATTTCGGGATGTGCATATATGGAATGAATCAACATACCGTCACTTTAAAAGAGGATATTTAATTATGTGAAGGAGCACTAATATTAGGAACATTCACAAAATCTCTTAATCTATTTGTAAAACGTGAAAAATAACTGAAATTGGAAACTCGAAGGCTGAAGTTATTCGGTCACGTGAAAAGGCTTGATTATGAGAGAATCCAGAATAGACATTAGACAGAAGAAAAGGGTAGACCCAGAGAGAAATGGCAGTATCAGGGTTTTAAAGATATGCAAAGAAGAGGTCTAGAAGAGAATGATTGGAATGATAGAGGGGTATGGAGATTGGGATTCGAGAGACTTCAACAACAGCTGTAAAATACTCGCAAGAACAAGAAGAGAAAAAAAATAATTGAATGGCTTATTTTTGAAATATTATAAGTCAATGACCAGTAACATAAAAAAGAAAATATCTAAATTCAATGATTTTATTTTTTATTAACACAGTTGACTCAATGTTGTTTTTTAAAAATGAGGGAAACATATTGTTATTTATTAAATACTTGTTACTTGGAATATATTTTAAAACGACCTTCAAATGAGTAACTAGAATGTTATACATAAGAAGACACATTATTTGCAGAAATTGTTATATTCCACAAGTTTAAATGAAGATGATAATTGTACGAGCAGAATTTAGTGTATTGTGCTTTAAAATTTAAAAGTAAAACATTAAAAAAACATTTGTAGTAATTTAAGAGAAAACCTTGTTTACTTGTGAAAAAAGGTCAAAAGTTTACACAAAATTACGCAACTTAAATTTACATAAAAAAGTATACACGTCATCGTTTAATGAGCCAATTATGAAATAATGATCTAATTTTGAACAAAATCTAGCTTTAATTATTTAATTGTAGAGGGGAGGGTTCAACAATTTTGAATACGTATTTTGGAATTTGTCAAATTTCAGATTTCAATAAAATATGATTTAGAACATTTTTATAAGCCTACATTGCTTTATTCGACCAAATACTAAAAAAAATAAATGTTTTGAGAAAAAATTAATGTTCTAGGTTTTTACTTTCTCACTACGGAGAAAAGAGAAAATTGTGTAATGCTGCGCGGAAAAACGAGGAATTTCGGCAGAAAAAACTCTTATTACAGGAACCTGGTAACGAAAACGAGGATAAATCCAGTTGATAAATTTAGAAAAAAAGCAAAGTATCCACGAAAGATCCCTTTCAAATTCAATAAGCTGCGATAATCATAAAAATTAATTGGGTAATATAATTTTGGTGAAACTGTGTGGTGGTACGTTTGAGGCGCTGGTGTCGTTCACAGACCGACAGAGTCATCGAACTGTCGGCGAGTGCTTGCGGTGAATATTGACGAACACATGGAGACCGACGCATTGACTGATTATACTTTTGGAAAAACAACAACAAAAAAACAACTTTTTCTGTGTCTGAGACCCCTAAATTATGTATTTCTGTCAAAATCTTAACATACATATTTTTCAGCTCTACAATCAATACCTTCTCTATTCTATTACTACGTATATACTAGAATGAATACAATGAAAAACGTTCGGAAAATAATTTAAAAGAAGAGTATGAAATACATAGTTTCATTGGTATATAATACTTAAATTCTCGCCCATCAGAGCTCTCTAGAATATAATGTATGAACGAATTACATATTAGAATCTTTGATGAGAATAGAAGTTTGCCAGTTTATGAAGATTCTGATAGAGAGCAGCACAATTTTCAACATAACTAACGAGCGAGATACATAACGCACGCGACCAATTATCTCAAGCGCATTACGTAACTCTGTAACCCCAATTCATATCATCCTTGCTTCTCTTCTGCTTCAATTCAACTTCATTCAATGGTGAGTTTACTTAACAGATATGACTTTTTGAAATGTAATACGCATGTTTGTATACAGTCTTTGTATTACCTAAGCACGTTTTCTTGAGCCCTCATATCGCTAGAGGTGGGAGGAGAAGGAGGTTTGGTTATTTCGGCGACAGAACTCTCATATCAAATTTGAGGATCGTTTATCGAAGCAAAATAGTTTCCGTTGCACGACAGCGAACATTTTTGGTTACCAGATGTTGTCAACAACCCTCGTTATATTTACGTGTTTTACAACTACAGTTAGTTAAGGAGTAGGGGAAGGTATACAGTGGCTTATGAAAACGTGAGTTATTTTACAGACGTTATAATACAAGATACGGTTATAATACAAATTATAATACACCGTTATAATATAAGTCATCAGATGCCATTGACGCCAAGTCAAGTGAGCTGCAAGTGGATGGAAAATTGCCTCCAGTGGCGCATTAAATTTATCAAAGACAGACATTTAGCAGTTGCACATGCATCCAGCTAGATTCATTACACTGTCAGAAACGTCGACCTTACTTTAATGTAAATTGCATTAAAGTAATTATTATGAATGCACATTAAATTTAATGTATACATATCCATTAAGATTCTAGAGTCAAAGCTTAAGTATCATGTCTGGAAGGAATAAATGAATGATCTTGTGGATTGGTGATTATGAACATACGATATAAATGATGAGAGAGACAGGAGAAACGGGAGAACCTCTGCATTAAATCTTCACTGACTTCAACTTATGCTTAAAATTTAATGTAGAAATATATTATTCTCTTTTTAATGTACACGTTTACATTAAGTTTCATGTACAATACATTAATGACAATTCTGACAGTGCACATTGTAACATGTTAGTATCCCGCTTAAAGTTTGGCGCTCACCGTGTTGGTACGGCACAGACGGGGTTTACTAAAAGTCAATTCCCTTGTTTGCCGTAAGGGTGTGCGCTCTAGACCGTCACGGTCGTAACGTGACAATGCGCACCTTACGTACGTTTGCAGAAACTTGAACGGAAAATCTTTCGGACATCCCGATGTGTTATGCCGTCCACACCAACGACGTCACCGGCTAGTCAGAGTTCGTGCATGGCTCAGGATGGACTTTCCGACTTTCAGTTGTGTGCAGGGTCGTCTTGCGGTTAGTTGGGGCCACGAGGCTCTCAAAGATTTGAAACCCCTAAGTATTGTCTGAAAAAAATTATGTCATTTTGTCATAATTTATTCGGAATAGTCAATGTAAAAATTAAAATACATGTGTTAAATTCATCCTTTTATAGTAAGCAAATGAAAAGTAAACAGATTGTTAGGGGGATGGGGTTAAACTCCCACCAGGGTTCATATGTTTTACTTTCTTCCTATTGCTTTCGCAGTAGGGAGAAAGTTAAGTAATACTGTACGAAAAAAACGGAGAATTTTTGGCAGAAAATCTCTTATTACAGGGCCCTGGTAACGAAAAAGTGGATAAATCCAGATGCTAAATTTAGGGTAAAAAATTCTCTAACACGTGGTGTAGCCAGAATCCATGTTTAGTAGGTCCTTGATGCCGAAAAATCGAATAACGTCAGAACGTCTGTGTTTCCATTCACTTGTCCGTTCAGCCGATTTTCTCCAAAATCGATATTCCCCAATAAATCTAAATTAATTCGAGGCTTTGGGAGTTTCAAATGTGCTTGCATATTTTGATTTTTCAGAGTATTTAACATGAAGCTTCAAAAACATTTTCAAACTTTTCTCAAAAATTGCACCTAATTTTTTGATCAAACTTTGTCTTCGGATATCGTAAAGGACGCTTATTTATATTCCTTAAGTGATATTGTTGACCCCGCGGTCTCTTGAATTTGAAACCGATATTTTAATATTGGGTGTAATTTTGCATGCGGCCATTGGGACATTTTCCACATTTTGAAAATATTTTGTCAACCTGTGTTTTTGAGGGTATTTTACTGAAGCCTCAAAAACATTTTCAAAATTTTCTCTAAAATGGCACCTAACTTTTGTAAAACTTTGTCTTCGGATATCGTAAAGGACGCTTAAGAGAATATTGCAGGTCTTAATGTTCGTTGATATTTACGATTTCTTGAAAATTGCAAGAATGCAATTTTCTATAATATTGCAGACAAAGATTTTTTCGTAATGGAATCTGTTCCTTAAAGACGGATCATTAAATACGTTTCCGTTCAATTTTTCGAAAATATGAGTGTATTCCTCTAATTTTGCCCTAAATAGGGGCAATTAAAAAAGAATACATTTTTCACAAACAACGCTCCAATTTTTTTCTTTAAATTTATACTATGAGTGGAAGAAATGGGACTTAAAAGAATGGTGCGGATCTCATTTTCGTTGAACTATCTGAATTTTCGAACATTTCACAAATTTAGAATCAATGCGAGAAAGTACGTGCTGCTGTAGTTTCTGACGTGAGGTCTGGTCTGCGCAGGCGCTGCAGCTGCCGCTGGGCGCGTGGGCGGTGGCGCTGGCGTTGCTGGGGCTGGCGCTGTGGCTGCGGCGGGGCGCAGACCCCACGCGGCGGCGCGTCAACCGCCTGCTGAGGCGCGTGCCCGGCCCCTTCAGCCTGCCGCTGCTCGGCAGCGCACTCGTCATGGTGGGCGTCGGCCGCAGGGGTGGGTTGCTAGCTTGGTTGGGCGCGCCAGCTGCTAACGTCGTTACTCCCGAGTGGGTAGAGCATGCTTTTTGCTCAGACGTTGGCGGTGATCTTGCCCTGCTGGGCGCCGATCTACCGACGACTAGCCGGGTTATCCCCGACCTGGTATCACCGGGAGAGATGGATCAGGGCATCAACTGATGTCATTGCAGTCCCTCTGACCGGGAGGTCCTAGGTTCGAGTACCGACGGTGGCAGGATTTTCGACGCTAGCTAGGTCGAGTTCAGTCGCTGTCTGATGGAGAATTCTAGCAGCCGGCTGCTCTGATCGATAGTTTTCCGTGGTTTTTCCGATCAACACCATGCGAATGCCGGAGCAGTACCCTAACAAACGGGCCACGGAACGCGCGCGTCCTGTCCTTACCTCGTACACACTCACACTGACACGCACTACACTGTCACACATGCCGGGAGACCCGTCAGTAGTTAAGAACTTGTCCCGGCTGGGGCTGTGCTTCGCTTGTGGGAGATACCTATTTGGGGAAAACTCCGCTAATCGACGCCGGATCTCTCCATGCGGCGACGGAAAGATCACAGTCACCTCTCAAGCAAAAACATGCATTACACTTGTGGAGCTAATGAACCTGTGTGGCGTAGTTAACACGAGGGCCAGAACCGTTAGGTCGGTGAAAGTGCGCTGCGGGGGAGGAAGGGGTTGAGCCTGAAACTTCCGGAGATTCGCTCTGGCGGTTGACTCATGAGAGCTGCAGAGGCCAAAATAACGTAGGTTTAAACTCCTAGGATGCAGCCAGCGACCCCGCTTACCGACAGCAGGCGACCAACCTGGGAATTTTATGGTGAGGCGCGTAAACCAGATGCTGGCACAGCCCTCTCGCTTGCCTACAGCAAGCGAGCCTAATCTATGAGAACAGTGTGGTGGTGGTCAGCTCAAACTATTTAACGCGGCAGCCATCTGCCCCGCGTCTCATTCAGTAACATCGGCAGAGCGTGTACGTGTAAGTTCAGGAGTGTAGACGTGGGCGAGATTCGGAGTAAGGGCCAGACGATCTCGCGTGCTCTAAACACGTCGCCCACGACCCGGTTTAAATTGGCGTCAGGCCATGTGACGGTTAATTGTCACGCGACGAAAGTCACAGCTACCATCCGCGTCTTTTATTTTTCTCCGGTAAAGCATAGTCTGAAGAAAAGTTCCGGAGTGTTTAATATTAGCAATTTATTGTAACTTGTTCATAATCTTTTAAAATACTATTTTTATTTTGTTATTGAATTTATTTCTCATTTCACTACGTCACACCTGGTAGTTGACGTGTCCGGAATCACTGAACAATCAATCAACCTGGAATCTCCCACCAGCCGGGCACAGCCCCGGCCGGGACAAGCTCTAAGCTTTCCACCAGTCTCCAGGCATGTGTGGGAAAGATCACGCGCGGTCTGTGGTGCGTTTGTTAGGGTACTGCTCTGGCATTCGCCTGGTATCGATAGGAGAAACGCAGAAAACCACCGATCAGGGTAGCCGGTCCCTAGAATTCTCCAAAGATAGAGACTAAATTCCTACTAGTGTCTAACATTCGCCACCAATGGGCCACGAACCCTAGGATCTAAGTGTCGCTGCAGTGAATTAAGTGGTCAGTGGTTCTGAATGAAGCTTAATCGTTCCATGAATCGGATCACAACATATCTTCCAAGAGAGTTCATTTGAGATGTGTTTGAGCAGTTTCTGATGGGAGATGGCTGTCAAACACTGCAATCTTCTATCACAGTGGGATAAAATAGGTCCCAGGTATCCATTATCCCACGGTATGCATTATATCTCAGTTCGAGTAGTTATTACGTGAAAAACACAGTGCAATTTATGCTGTGTCTGCTACATTAGGGATTTTCTAAGAATTTGGTTTTTGGTGGAAGATATGGGGAAACTTACTTTCTGAATCCGGTTAGTTTCATTATAACAAGACAAAACTAGGTATAAAAGGTTGTACAAGTTTGCAATATCTTTGCTAAAAGTGTTTTTAATTGCACCTATTACTCTGCATAATATTTTAATGTACTGGTATTTTGTTTTATCTACACAAAATTATCATTAATATTTCTTCATAGATGAGTAGGACGTGTCAACTGTAATTTTAGTGCAAATACAAATTAAACATTTAAAACCAGCTAAGGGTTTGAAAACACACGAATTCGACAAAACACAACGAATTCGACACGTCTCTCGTTCTAACATCATACTATACTATACTAAAACTTAACCATACATTATTTTTTAATCATTTAGATTTAATAATAACTGTATTAAATATTGTTCTAAACCATATAGCGCGTGCTTTTATCGTACAATTTAATAAACTATGCATCCAAATCTATATTATGGTAAAAATGCGTCATTAATATACAATAAAAACAAAACTCTTGCAATCAAACAGTTTAAAAGACAAAACTCATACGACACTCCATTTTGCAACAGCCTTTTACGTCAACATCCATACATTTTCATTGATCCAACAATACTCCATGTTGCAGATGTATGGAAGAAGATACAGAGTCTCGTCAGCACTTACCAGCCTATCTTTAGTACGTGGAATGGCTCTACTCCGGAAGTCCATTTAACGGATGCAGATGATATAGAAGTAAGCAAAACTATTTTACACATATATTTTAATGAAGTAACGATATGTGCAGTGAATGAATTAAAATAATTATTTTCAAAAAATAAACATAACAAAAAATAAACATTTCATAAACATTTCATGTGTTCGTTTTTACGGATAGGAGCCAAAGGAGTTTGGTAAAAGACATTTTTGTAAGGCAAAAATTTATTGCATTGCTGCAATTCAAAATTGAACACAGCAGAATTACGTTTGCTCTCGAAAAATAGCCCGATACCACTCCATTGTCTTCTAAATCAGTTCGATACTATCTACTCTCAAGTGCTACTATCATGACGATGACAATAACAAAGCCAAGGATATTCACCAAGAAATCACTTTCGTGGCGATTCAGAGACACGAGGCAGTTCGTACTCGAACGAACTGCATTTAATTCCTTCGATGACAGCGAGTAAAAGTTGAAACCGACTGAAGATGTTTGGGTCACACCTTGTGCAGTAGAACCTTGTTAACCCAGATCTCTTTAACCCGGTTTTCTGAATTACCGAACCCTCTCCTTCCCCTCCCTCCGCCACAAAAAAGACCGTAGAGGTGAAAGGGGGAGGGAAGGAAGTGGGGTGGTGATGGCGTGGTCATTCTCAGAGCTACCGTCTAGTTTGTACCGATGCGTATTCTGTACAGTGAAAATAGATATTACAATGTGTTTTAGAGGGAAAATTCGTGTCGAAATAATTGTTAAACTTCATTACAAAACGAAGTCGTAGGTTTCCGCGATTAAAGTCCTGCGAGCGGTCTTGACTGTCCGGGTGACGCCGCGTTGAAGCCTGTGATGCCGACGTTTCGACCATCCTATCGTGGACTTCCTCCCTGTGTAAGGCAGACCACTCCCGAGAAAGACGACTGGATGATTGAAACGTCGGCGTCACTGACTTCAAGGCGGCGTTACCCGAGCAGCCAAGATAATTCATTAAAATAAGTTTGGGAAGTAAGGTATGCAAAGGTAATATGGCCACGTTAAGCGCCTCTAATTTTCCTGTTCATATGTTTCAACATTTGGCAAAATTAACAGCATCATGATGACATTTAGCACTTTTGCTTTAAGTGAAATAGCTGTATCACAAAAAAGTGATTCAGGAAAATTGTTATTGTTGTTGTTTGACAAAAAATTGAAATTTGAAGGTAATATGCCCACATGCAGGTTTTATGGTCATTGCCAGATTAACTGTTTTCCTGTAGCATGAGCGTGGAAATAGGGATAGCTGTACTAACGTGTAATATGAATTACCGTATTACAGTCTAAATTATACAAAAATACTTCCCAGACATGATTTCAGTAATTTAAGGGTTGCTGGGCTATTCATAACAAATTCAGTAGTTTCTCCAATGACCATTTATTATACAAAATTTTAAAAAAATAGTAAAATTTTGAAAACGTACAAACCAATTAGTTTAAGCAATTTGACATTGAGGTCAAATGAAAGTTTCCTAGTCTTTAACAGTTACTCGTACACTAACTTCATGTATATATTTTCCCCACACCCCATCGGCGCATGCCCTTAACTCTCTCCTTACAGCAAATATGGCAATATTACTCGCGGAACTTTTCTTGACAAACACACATTTCTTCAATCCATCGTTCAAGAAAAGTTGCGCTTTTTATTCTTTTTCTGTGGCTACTGATCCACTTTATTATTTTGTCTGGAAGTTGATGGATTGTTTTGAACCTCGTCTAATATTTGAGTTAAAAATGAGTTATTTTTTAAAACAATATCGCTGGAGTTGAATGATGGCTATGTTTCCCATATTGGTTTGGCTCCAAGCACCCCATTTCTTTGCAGGATTAATTTTTTGGGACATAAAACACATAAACATTAGTGCATCAATAACATGAAGTGAATATAGCCGTATGTGCTGGTAATATGCCCATTACCTTTAGCCATATTGACAGCAAAATAACATGTTATAAAACTATGGGTTGTGTTGGTAAAATATTGTGCGAATTAAACGGCATTTATCTGATTAGATTGGTCATCAAACGCGCTAAAATGCGCTTGTTGTATTTTCTCAAAATACTAAATCCGTCTTTAAATGGAAATAATGATATACTTACCTGTAAAGAAGTTATAAGGACGGGCCTTAAGCACGTTCTGGACAATGGAGACTCCAGAGTGCGAATGCGCGAGTCAATACGCGTGGTAGAGGGTTAACGCACTTCTTATGCTCTCCCAGACAGTATGACTTTCCCGGACTCTATGGCAAACAGTTGTAGCTAACAACATAGCCACTACTTGGCCATATTGCCTGCACTGGCCATATTTGCATCTCTTACCCCAAATGTTATTTTTTATATCGTTTTCCCCTTATTCTCTGGATATTCCAAATTTTTGTTAACTCGGATCTGCCCCAGCCCCAGTTGATTCGGGTTAACGAGGTTCTACTGTATATGATTTTACCTCCTTTTTAGACTATTCTCCGTAGTCCCGTTAACATCACCAAAGGTTGGCTCTATGACTACCTCCATCCTTGGTTAGGCACCGGACTTCTCACAAGCACAGGTACAGTAATCACCTGAATAGTATACACACATATGTGGCAAACTAACCATTTCATTGATAATTGTGACTTTCAGGGCAAAAGTGGTTCGCGCACCGCAAGCTGATCACCCCCACGTTCCACTTCAAGATCCTGGAGAAC